TTCTCTTGGTACATTTTTCCTGTTATAAGTATGTAGTGATAAGTATGTAGTGTATAAGATGATTACTATTCATAATCCCATATGATTAGCTTAGGTCTGAAGTCTTTTTTTTTTAATTACTAAAACGGTTACACCTGCTTCTTTCTTGTATCCTTTTCATCCTAAAATGATGCTTATCCTTGAAGATGAGGTATATTTCTTGGATGTCACAGAAAGATGGATCCTGTTATCTAATACCATCTGTTAGTCTGTGTATTTTTAATAGGGAATTGAGTTTATTATGTTGAAAGATATTTTTGAGTAATGTTTATTTGTTCCTATTATTTTGTTGTTTTGATGTGGGCTCCCCCCCTTATTTAACTCACTTTTCTCAAATTATTTATTTCTTGTGTCCTCTTGGGTGTAGCTGAATTTCTCTTCAAAATAGTTTTCTTCTGGTGCCTTCTGTAGAGTTGGATTAATGGACAGAAATTGCTTAAGTTTATTTTTATCATAGAATTATTCCTCCACTAGTTATGATTGATAGTTTTGCTTAGTATAATAATCTAGGTTGTTATCTGTGGTCCCTCAGAGATTGTAGATGATCAGTCCACATCTTTCTGGCTTCCAGAAACTCCATTGAAAAGTCAAGTGTTATACTAATGGGCCCGCCTCTATATATGACTTGTTCTTTGCCCCTTGCAGCTTTCAATATCCTTTCTTTGTTCTGTACATTTAGTGTTTTGATTATTACGTGTTATTGGGAGTTTCTTTTCTGTTCTTGTTTATTTGGTGTTCTATGTGATTGTACTTTGATAGGCATCTGTTTCTCTAAGATGGGGAAATCTATGGTTTTACTGAAAATATATTTGGGCCTTTGACTTGACTTTCTTTTTCTTCTTTTAAACCCATTAGTCATAGGTTTGGTCTTTTCATAATGTCCCAGATTTCCTGAATGTTTTGTTCAGGACTTTTATTAGATTTAATATTTTTCTTTGATTGAGGTATTTGTTTCTTCTACCTTGTGATTCTCTCTTCTGTATCTCTGTCATGTATTCTGTTGGTAATGCTTACCTTTAAGGTTTTTGCTTAATACCTTGAGTTTTTAACTTCCAGTTTATTTTAATTTGTTTGAGATTCTATTTCCCTTTTAAATTCTACTCTTCTGCCTTGAATTGTTTTCATTATTTCATTCAACAGTTTCTATTTTCACAGTCTTCATTAAGACATTCATTCATATCCTCTTTAATTTAACATAATCATAATTGGTATTTTGAAATACATTTCTTATGCTTCAGCTAAATTGCTTTTCTCAGGGCCTTTCAAAGTAGAACTGCTGGCTTCTGGATGAGGAATACTGTTTAGTTTTTGTATGTTTGTGTTTGGGACCTGGAATCTGGATATCTAGATTTATGATGTTTGAAGTATTTCTTGGAGTAGATATCTAATCTCAAGTTTGTTGATTGGGTTTTCCATTCTTTGGTTGCTGTTGCTCACTTTGGGTCCTAGACCTGTTTATTGGCTGTGAGATTCCTGGTAGTGAGTGTTTCTGTGTGTTGACAGTGTCACAAAGAAATGGAGATGGGCTAGAAGAAAGGAGTAAATGGGGTTGTGGGAAAGATCTAGTGAGACTCTGGTTCTTCACCAAGTTGGAGAATCCATAGAGGACTGTGACAAATTGGGAGGAGGAGTTCCTGTGGACAGGCAGTAGCAGGACCAGGAATTAATATGGAGAGACTAGAATAGGGGGACAGGAAAGACAATAAAAGTAGCCTACATGTATCTTAGCCTAATGTGTCCACTGTGGTTCCCTTGTAGAGAATGGTTTTACGGGTTGAGGCAGGGAGAGGCGATCACAAAAAAAAAAAAAAATGGATATGGGATAGAAGGAAATGCAAAAGAGTGCAGGAGGAAAGAACTAGAAGGATCCTGTGTCCACACCCCTTTACATCAAGTATCTTCAGTATTTTTCTTATTTGACACAAGTATTTTCTCTGCTTTTTCTTGTTGTTGTTGTTTTTTTTTTCTTCTTCTTCTTAGACTATCTTGGTTTGGTGTTTGATATTATTTCATAAGCTTTAGATGTTCTGATGACTTTTATTTTTCTTTCTTTTATTTGGACTTGTGGAGTTCAATTCATTTAGGCTAAGTCCATTTATCTTGTCCCTACCATTTCAACTAGTTTTGATTACCACTACGTCAAATCAAATTTTCCATATAACCAGGGAGTACTTTTTATTTATTTGTTTATTTATTTATTTATTTATTTATTTATTTATTTATTTATTTATTTATTTATGTGTTTGTTTGGTTTGGTTTTTGGAGACAGGGTTTCTCTGTGTAGTTTTGGTGCCTGTCCTGGAACTTGCTCTGTAGACCAGGCTGGCCTCAAACTCACAGAGATCTGCCTAGCTCTGCCTCCCGAGTGCTTGGATTAAAGGCGTGTACCCTTTAAACTACTGCCCAGCAAGTAGTTTATTTTTGTCATTTCATTTTTTTTCAATGCTAGAATTTACAGCTGGTGTTTTCTTGAGTTTATAAATTTTTACACTTTTATTTATTTAGTAATTGTCACTATCATTTCTCTAGTATTTTATTTTAACTGACCAATAATTAACTTATTTAAGGGTGAAATGTGTTAATGCAATGTATATGTACATTAAGTAATGATAAAAGGCAGTTAGATTATCTACCATTCTAAATATTTATTATTTCTTTGTAGTGATGATCAAACTTAACTTATCAGTCTTAGTGGCAGAGAACGTTACCCCCAGAGCCATCTCACCAACCCACTGTACTTCTTCTTTTGAAAAGCATCTATTCATTTCATTTGGTCATTTGTTGGTTGGAGTATTCGTGTGGGTTTTGTGAGACCTTTTTCAGTTCTTAATATATATTCTAGATATTAATCCCTTATAAACTGGTTAGCTGGCAAAGATTTTCTTTTACCATGCCTTCTCTCATATAAAGGCTTTCTCTTTATTCTATAATTTCCTTTGCTGTGAATATGTGTTTTAAGTTCATAAACTAGTATTGGTCACTTGTTGCTACTATTTATTGAAATATTAGTGACATTTTCAGAAATTTCTTACCTATGCCTACCTATGAGTCAAAGTACTTCTACTATATTTTCTTCTAGCAGTTTCAAAGTTTCAAGCAAAACCCTAAACATGGAAGTGGCACATGTTTAAGACACATCATTCCTGCAAGTATATTTAGAGGAAAATAAGTAAGCATATTACAAAATACCTAAACAGCCATGCTCATTATGGCACTATTCCTAATACCCAAATTTTAGGATCAGCCTAGGTGTTCATCATCAAATGAATAAAGAGAATGTATAGATGCACAATGGAGTTCCAATCATCCACAAAGTAGAATGAAACTATGTCATTTGTAGTAAAATTGATGGAAATGGAGATAATCATATTAAGTGAAATAATGCAGACTCAAACAAACGTCATGTTTTCTCCATGAAAAAAAAATATACACACATATATAACATGAAAGTAAAAGGGGACTAATTGGTAAGAAAATTAATTGAAAATGGGACAGGAGAAGGCATGCAGTGAATATAGTCAAAGTACTTAAAGGAAAACACCACTAAAAATTTGACACTTTGTTCAATTACTACCTATTAATAAAATATTTCAAAACATAAAATGAACCAATAAAGCAAAACCAACAAAACAAAAAGTAGCACATGTAAAATCAGGGTTTAATGACAATATATATATATATATATATATATATATATATATCTTGAGAATAGGAGTCAGAGATGTGCTTGAGTTTTTGTACTTGTAGATAATGTTTAGAGTAATATAAATCCCATTTGCTATCCACTTCTCCTGTCATGTGGAAATTTTTAGTATTTTTCTTGTTTATTTACCTTGTAAATAAATGTTATTTTTAATTTTTTAATCATGTATATTTTATATTTTTATGATGTTTCAGAAAACACTTCTAAGTATCTTGTTGAAACCTTCCAGTTATGTTCCAAGAAAGTAGATTTCAAACCTTTCATGTATTACTATCAATTCTGAAATATAAGAGATAATATGGAAATTCTTTTATATCATACCTAAATGACAGATTACCGTATATGTAAATTATTATGTCTTGTTAAATTATATTAAAGAAAGAAGTGTCTTCACATTAATCAAATTAATTTTGATCATCCTTCAACTTTCTTTCTGTGCTTGTATTTTCCATGTGTCTAAAATGGACATTTGTTACACATTTTTCTACTTTAATATTTTCAATAAAATAATGGCTGCAATTCTGCTCTCTTTGCAAAAGTCATTGTGATTGGAAGGAACAAAAGTTTACTTATAATTGAGGAATGAAAGCAATGGATAAGTGATGAGGGACTTAATTCAGTAATCTATTTTCACCTTTAAAATATTCAAGGACCAGAAATAGAGTTACTACTAAGGAGAAATTTGAATTAGGAACTGAAAAATATCAACAACTTGATAGAAAATATTTCCATCTCTCTTTTTCAGAAGCATATGGTCACTTGTATCTACTTCATCTATGTATGGCTGTTCTATTCTTCTTCTCTAAAAGTTGTTTGTTATGCTCCTCTATGCACATGACAGAACTAGCTTTTACATGGAGACTAAGATTGCCTACCCTCAGTTTCACACAACAAGCAGGGAGAAAACTTTCTGAATACTAACTCTCAATCTCTAACAAAGAGAACGGTGTTACTCTAATTTTAATCAAATGCTAGTTACATGCAATTCAAATACTAGGTTCCAAAGACCGTTCTGGTATTTAGGAGTAGTTCCTATTAGTTTATAGGAACATAGATAATGAACAAACATCCCATAATGTGTCTACCATGTCTATATTTAGATGTTAATTCTGAGGTTTTACTCAGGAAGATCATGCAAAGCTATCAAGCACAAGTTTGTAACTAATCAAGTTGAAATCCTCTCCAGTGTAAATGCTTTTGTGTATTGTATTTAACTAAAAAAGCTATAACTTCATGTATTATTTGTTTTTCAGCCAATAACTACAACAGTCTTATCACATGGACCTCCCATACAATATGCATCCCTTCTAAATCAAAGCATGTCTGAGAGTTATTCATCTTCACAAAGAGTTGACACTTCAAGGTAACTCTCACTAATAATCAGATCCATCTATATACAATTTTCACCTAGATGTGAATGTAAAAATATTCTATTTTTAATTTACAGTAAACATTAAATGTGATACTTGATCCCAAATGCTGATATATTAAGTAGAGAGTGTCAAGAAAATCATATATTAACAAGGAAGTATCCTAACAGGAAATACTTTTAGGTCCATTGGAAAATAGTTAATGTGAGGGAAGATGCAAATACTTAATGCCATGGAAGAGTATAAAATAAATGCACTAATTTTGTTTTTTGCAAAGAGCTTAATGTTGCTTTTTGCTTTATGCAGTTCACAGATAGGACTATGTGCTCCATAGTATTTTCTTACAGAAGAATTTCAATAGAGATAATATCTTAGTATCAACTTGTAAATATTTAAACATGTATCTATGCTTGTTTTTCTTGAAGTGATGAAGGAGAAGTTACACTGGAACATGATAAAGGAAACAAATATGAAGCAGAAATTCCTGTTATAGATGCATCTGCAACGTTGGGGAGTTCTTTTTACTATAAAACTCTCCAAGACCTTACAATTATTGAAAGTGATACTCCTCTTATGGGCTCTGGTTCTGAAAGATGTGTGATTGATTCTGACTCTGACCGAAGTGTTGACTCAGATTTTGAGTTAGAAGAACAATCTCGAGACTCTGGATCAGTAATATGGGGAGTAGATTCTGACTCCGAAAAGTCTCCTAGGGATTCAGACTCTAGAAAACACCTGTTAAAAGCAGAAAATTATCAAATTGCTTCAGTCTCTGTTGAAGACTTGACCAAGACAGGGCAACAGCTGGTGAGAATTGAACAGTGCCAGGTGGAATATGGATCTCTGAAACACTGGGTACCCTCAGGCTCAGAAAAGTCCCTGGAAGATTCTGACTCTGAAAGAGACTCTGACTCTGATAATGAAATGAACATAGAAGAAAAACGCCAAATGGCTTCAGATTCTATAAAACGTCTAATGGAATCTGAAAAAGAAATGATAGAGAATGAAAATTTCTGGATGATCCCTGTTCCTGAGAGTTATACAGTACACTCAGGCACAGAAAAAAGTAGAGCATCAGCATCTACGGTACATCTGATACAGGTGGAAAAAACAGAAAAGCAAAGACCTAAGAGATATATGATGGACTCTGACTCTGAATCAAGTGAGATGGACTCAGATTCAGAAAGATATGAGCTAGCCTCAGCAGCTGTGAAATGTTTCATGGGTATAGAAACATTTCATATGAGCACTGCTGTTAGCAAGTTCCCAAAGGAATCTTGGTCTGAAAGAACAGTGGACTCAGACTCTGAAAGCCCTGTGATGTCCTCTGATTCTGGGAAGCATATGAAGAAGGCTGAAGCATGCAAAAGTACCTGCAATTTGGAAAGACTCAAGCTGGCTCACAAGTCTGAGTCTCTGCATCACCGGTTAGATGCTAAAAGAAAACAGTTAGATTCTGATCATAGCGGACACTGGGATAGCTCTGGAAAATATCAGTTTAGGTCTATAGTACCTCAAGATAGCTTCGGAAAATGTCAGGGTGACCTTCAAACATTTCAGAGTATCACTGAAAAAGATCAAGGAGACTCCAGTTCTGAAAAACATCAGAAAAAAACTGGAAATGAACGAGATCAAGATGAACCTGAAAGCAAAAGATACCCTATAAAGACAGAGAAGGGAGTTGAAAATGAGGGGTTTCAAATGGATAAGGAAAGAGAAGAACATCTCATAGAGTCTGCCCGTCATGATTCAGAAAATGAAGCACACCGGCTTGGTGCTCGTAGAAAGGATAATCGTCCTCCAGGTAAGCTAAAATGTATGTGGCCTTTGCAAATAATTTATAAATTGTATTAATAGCATCATAACATTTCCAAAGGTGTCAGTAACTTTGATATATTTGGGGCTGAACCCACTTAAGAAAACTTATAAGAAATTCAGAGACTAAACATCTTAATACCAGATGTTTATTTCACTTTCAAAATTAGGAATATCAACTTGCTTTAGGTATTTTTTATCTCTTCTATTTTGAAAGGATGAAAGTTAAAATGTTTCTAAAAACAATGTCTATTCTGGCCTAAGAACACAATGCTACGTTTAGCTTTCATCATTCTAGAATAAGAAAAAGATTTTTTCCTGTTTAGTTATTATAAAAAGGTTTTAAATATAGAAGCCTAAGTATATCAGTGTTTAAGTTACTTTTTTTTGCTCATAAAGATTTTCCTCATGTTCCATAATTTGCAATGAATAGTTTGCATTTATTTGTTACTCATGTTTATCTTATCAAAATGCATCATTATAATCCTCCAGTCCCTAGACCACTAGTTCTCAACTTGCGGGCCATGACCCCTTTGGGGGAAAATGACCCTTTCACTGGGATAACATATCAGATATCCTGCATATCAGATATTTACATTATGATTCAGAACAATGACAAAACTATAGTTAAGAAGAAGTAGTAACAGAAATAATTTTATGGTTGGGGTCACCACAACATGAGAAACTGTATTAAATGATGTCATCATTAGGAAGGTAGAGAACCACTGCCCTAGACAATTTAATTGATTCTTTAGAACAAATATATATGCTTCATATACAACTGCTCTGAATAACTCTAAACATTTTACATGTACTAATTAGTATTGATTCAGTTGCACTAGTTTATTAAAGCTCACAGATTTTACATATATGAATGTATTAAGTCCACCTAATACTAGAAGGTAGGTTACTGTTATCATCTTTATTTTACAAATGGAGAAACTGAGGTGCAAATAAGTAACCAAAGTAGCACAATAAATAATAAGGTATGAACTCATGCTCTAGTGTTTATTTTGCTCATCATGAAGATTCACTGTCAGTCAACTCTAAGAGATATTTCCCATTAAGAACCATGAAAATAATAAGTTCAGGTTATTTGTCTGGTGCATTGAATTTAGTGTTATCTGAATATAGTGCCTTAGTTTACAAGCATAATTGTGGTACATGGATTTTAACATTTTTATCCTCAAAAGATTTTCCAATTTAGAAAAACAATTGCAAAAAAAAATCTGAATGTGGTAGCACATACTTTTAATCCTAGTGCTGAGGTAGCAGAGACAGTAACATCACTAGGGCTCAATGGCCAGCTAGCCAGCCTATGCTAATCAGAGAGCTCCAGTTCCCATTGAGAGACTCTGTTTAAAAAAAATGAAAAACTTCTGAGACAAGACACTGATTGTTGATCTCTGACCTCCACCCATATGTATACACACATGTTGTCTACCTGCACATATATGTGTACCTATAGCTGTGTGCAAGTACACATGAGTGTGCACAAAATGAACGGTAATGGCAATATAGTATATATGTACATGATGCAAACATTGAGAACTAAGGCTCAAGTAACCATCTTCCTTAAATGATCACATAGGTGATTATTGACCAAGCTAGAGTACAAAAGCTCCTAGTCTAGTGTTTTCTCAAACATATCTGTTAATTTAGGAAGTTTATAATTATTTGCCTTAATTATGGCTACTGTTGCTATGACAAAACACCATAACCAAGGCAACTTATAAAAGTAAGCATTTAATGGGGGCTTACTGAAAGTTTCAGAGGGTAATCCATTATCATAGAGGGGAGCATCGCTTCAGGCAGGCAGACATGGTGCTGGATCGGTAGCTGATAACTCACATCTGATCCAAAGTTTGCAGGTAGAGAGAAAGAGAGCATGAGATTAGCCTAGAATGAGCTTTTGAAACCTCAAATCCTACCTCTAGTAACATGCATCTTCCAAAAAGGCCAAACCTACTCCAACAAGGCCACACCTTATAATCCTTCTCAAACATTTCCTCCACCTGGAGACCAAGCATTTCAAACGCATGAGCCTATGGGAGCCATTCTCATTCAAACTACCTCACTGAGAAAATATTATTTGCTCTGAAACTAATCAATTAAGTATAATTTTCTCTTAATATTTGAATTTTGATAGAATTACCAAATTTCTTTTTTTTCTTTATTACAAAAATTTCCACTCACTCTACATACCACCCATAGATCCCACCTCCTCCCTCCTCCCATCTCCCAGCCCTCCCTCCCAAGCTACCCCACATCCCCACATCCCCCAAATCAGGGTCTCCCATGGGGAGTCAGCAGAGCCTGGCACACTGAGCCTAGGCAGATCCAAGCCCCTTCCCACTGTACCAAGGCTGGCAAGGCTCCACACCACAGGCCCCGGATTCCCAAAAGCCTGCCCATGCACCAGGGATGGATCCCAATTCCCCTGCCTGGGTGTTCCCCAAACAGTTCAAGCCAAACAACCATCTTCCATATCCATAGGGCCTAGTCCATTCCAGTGGGGGCTTCACAGCCACTAGTCTACAGTTCATGGGCCTGCAATAGTGTGGCCAATCATCTCTGCACTTCTTCCATTATGATCTTGACACTCCCCACCTGCAGAATCCCTCCTCTCTCTCATCAATTGGATACCCAGAGCTCAGCCTGGTGCCTGGCCATGGATCTCTGCATCTGCCTCCATCAGTCACTGGACAGTCTCTATGATGATAGTTAGGGTATTCGCTAGACCGGTCACCAGAGTAGACCAGTCCAGGCACCCTCTGGACCACTGCCAGCAGTCCAAGGTGGTGTCATCCTTATGGGTTCCTAAGAGCCTCCCCAGAACCCTGCCTCTTCCTTTTCCCATCATGTCCTCAAATTTCTTAATAATCAACATAAAGTATGCATTGATATATGTCCAATCAGAAGATAGAAACACTTTCATACATTGGAGTAAAGTTTACTAAATGTTCTTATTATGTAAATAATCACATTAATATTAATAATATATCAACAGTTTTTAAAATATTACTTAAGTATTCTTTAAAATGATTACATTTAAGAAATGTAGTATATTATTAAAATCCTCTCTAAACATCATTTCTCAATATGTTTCCTGCTTTGCTTCATACATAAACAACTTAATCTACAAAGTCTTAAGTAAAACTGTCAACCTTTATGGTCTAGAAAAGTATATAAATTTTGGAGTTCGAGAAAAGTGTTCTTTGATTTTACAAATACCATGCACTATTAGTACTTCTTGTTGCCAGTTTAATGCTTAATCACAATTTCATATCTCTCAGCTTATTCTTACAATAGCAGACTTTTCAGTTTACTTGGTTAAGATACCATGCACTTAAAAGATAAAAAAATGGCCAAAAGATAGATTTTGGGGGAGCATCTGGGATTCCTCAATCATATGTACATACTATGTATTAAAATATAAATTAATTCTATGAATGCAATTTTAAACCTACAATTAAAATTGAAATTTCTAAGTGTAAGGAAAGTGTTCTTACTCACTTATATGTCTTCTTTAACAAAATGTCTGCTGATAAATTTATTCAGTTTTGTTATATTGTATCTGATATTTCATTTTTATTAATAAATAAAATGTGTTTATAATAAAGACAAAAAAACTGTTATTTGTGCTATACATCTCCTCTTCATTTACAAATGAGCAATAATTCTTAAAGTCAGTCTTTACCACAAGTGGCTATTCTCTTTATAATGGTAAATAGATGTAAGGAAAAGAGTTAGCTATATCTCCAACACCCAAAATGAAGTCACTTTCATTCTGTGACTGTACACCCTAAATAGATGTTTTTTTTAAGCCAACTAGTTACTCTATTATTACGAAATTGCTGCAAAGTTTTTAAAGCTGATTTTCTTTTTAGTTGTTACATAGAGTTTTACATGTCATAACATTTTAAACTTCATTTTTTTCTTTGAGGTAGCATGTGCTTTAATAAAAACAGACAATAAATACAAGAAATATATATATACATATATATATCGTGTATATATGATTTAAATACATACTATATATGTGGCAAGAGAAAAGCATATTGAGAAAGTGAATGAAAATAGACCTGAAGGAAACTCGTAACATCTGAGGATGAGGATTCCTGAAAGAGAAACAACAAATTCAAAAGCCATAGATAAGAATGTAACTTTTTTTGGAGAAATAAGACAAATCCATAAAACTTGTAAAACAGTGGTCTGCAGGTTATTTACAAACATGTTTAACCATCAGTACCATCCAATCACAGAACATCTTCTTTACTCAAGAGGAAACTTTATAGCAGCATTATTCATTAGAGCTGAAATGTGGAGACTGCTCAAATACTCAACAGATAATGAGTGGATAAGTTAAATATTGCATATCTACACAGTGGATGCTATTTAGCAATATAAAACAAAGGAGTGCTGACTTTTTGGCATGTAATAGGTAAACCTGGAAGACATTATTCTGAATACAAAACAACTAATCAGAAAGAACCACATGTTGTACAATCCACTATACAAAATGTCCTGAAGTATATATAAATCTATAGAGGCAGAAGGTATCTTAGTGGTTGCTTAGGACTGTGGTAGAAGAGGCTAGAAGTTTATGACTGTATGGTATAGGCCATTTGTTTAAACCTCATTTTAATATGGGTTTAGTAAGCTTCATGAAATTTGAGGAGTACCATTACAAATAAGTATATTTGAAAATTATGTTACAGCATCAAAAATGATTTTTAGTCTGGAATTGCATAGTAAACATTCTTTTACATAGCATCATTTAATTAGTAATTGTAGAATAACTGAGTCTGTTTAATATGATTATAGGTTTTTGGAGGCCTGTTACCCTGCCTCCTAAGCTTGGCCAGGAAAAGAAAACTGAAGAGCAAAAGTCTGTACAGCAAAAAGATAACAGAGGTGAGTATGTAGTAGAAATTGTCTAAGAATTTAATCATGTTATGTGGTAATATTTGGGAAAATAAATTCAGAATATGAAGTGTAATAGTGGTTACAAGGTAATGTAATACATAATAATACTTAATTCTGTGATTTACTACAAAGAAAAAGTAGCAAAACAAAAAGGCACATGAAGTAAAGTCCAGCTAAT